GATGCCAAAGTTTGAAAAATTATCATCACACTTACTAGAAATGAAAGATAATCTTGCAAGCATAAAGAAACCTACATGGGTAGTGGATGAACAAATGAGGGAATAGAGTGGCAACTACTCTTTTCTTCTTAGGTCATCCCTTATTGCAATTCATTGCAGTTCATTGAAAATTTTGAAATATTAGAAAAACTATTTTTCTGAGATGTACTGCTTTGAGACATAAGCCTAAGAGAACAAAGATTGTTTCTGCAAGTGTTGAGTTTTTTTTTTTCCAGATCTAATGACTTACAAGGTTTTGTGTAGATCTGGTTGCACTCGGGTAACTCGGAGAGTCAAATAAAAACAAGATCAACAGATGTAGGGAAGCCTTTCTTCCCACAGACTTCCGTTTGGTGGATGTTTTTAGTATTTATGAGGAGCTTTTTTTCAGGTGCAAGCTTTTTCTTTTGTCAGGTCACTTAAAGTGGCTCATTGTGGAGTCAAATGTCTTACTTGTGTAGTCTCTGGTGTCTAGTAATGCATAATCTCACACTGAAGTCTTTAATTCTACTGGGGCACTTAACAGCTCTCTCTTCTACTTGCCCTCTAGCATATTCTAGGTTTCCTGAATCTCCTAGGAAATTTATGTCTTCAAGATCTCTCTCTTCCGGGTGTGTTACTCTTTACTCTCCATCAACTATAACAATTACGATGTCTATTTGCCATAATGGGAACTTAAAGACACGTAGCTCCTAGATAGATGCATACGTGGTAGATGCATAATGAAGGTATCTTAGTCTTGAATTGACTTCCACCTTGTATAATGAATAGCTTTGCTTCACACATTTTCCAATGATAGACTTTCGTAAGTGTTCAAGTAATACAGTCCTGGTGGCAGCATTGGAAAAACATGCCTTAGATCATGCTTCTTACTCTATGAAATCTGGAGCACATAAATTGACAACAGTTAAAATCAGCAGCCAAAATACTTATCTGTCACTTAAAATAGGAACAAAAAGGTGGATTTGGTGTAAGCTTTGGGTAAAGATTAGCATGGGTTCATTTCCATTCAAACCATTTTTATTATGGCCTGTTTCATGTCATGTGTAAGATAAAGGTATGTTACATGATCTTTGGAGCAATGAAAAATGTACTAAGGTATTACAATTTGAGTTTCTTGCTAAGTCCTTTTTGTCCAGCCTTGAAATTTTGCTTGACAGAAGGAGAATCTGTTCTTTCTTGGGTGAGCCTTATGACAGCGTAAGTACCCCTAAGCGAATGTAAAGGTGGTTTGGCAGAACAAGGAAAGAAAAGAAAAAGAAAAATATTCACAACAGCCAAAATTTCCAGAAGTGCTCATCACTTTTGGGTGCTCAGCTTGAGATACCATGGATTCATGTGACTGGGTGAGTTTGCTTCTTATCATATGGTGGGGTGTTTTTTTTTTTTAATTTGAAAATTCTTTTGTCTGTGGAGCAGATGCTTGTGTGTTACTCATCCTGCCTCTTTTCTTCCACTTTGACCTTGATCTTTTACTTGTCTCCAGTTTTCCTTGTAGAATTATCTTTCTTCTCATTATCTCCAGAACTATCACCTGTCGTTATGAATTATCATGCGGTTTATTCTTTCTACTGATATACTGATTTCCACATAAATTTATATGTAGAATGTTGTACTTTGGACAAAATTATTTCCAAAATTCCAAAGGCTAAATACTTTTCTGGCTTGATGCTAATCTGTGCTTGAATACAGTAGAAGGAGCCTGAGAAACAATACTGTCATTGAGAAAAAAAAATGTGAACCCACTGCCTACTTACTGCTCAGGAATTCTGTATTACTCGGGTGAATTGTGTTCAGTGATTTCTTTGCCTGTACCTTTGAGTATTCTTTTTCTTTATTCCCTCTCTTGCCAAAAAAATATGTGAACATATTAATCTCAAAAATGCCTTGGCATCCGTACGGGTATATTTGTTTGCCACCCTTTGACAATAGGCTGAGAAGTTTGCTATGAGGGGTGAACCTAGGCACGAATCCAGACTACAAGGCAGCTGAAATACTGTTTTCCTGTACTTTCAGCATGAAGCCTGAATATTTTAACTAATAAATTTAACACAGTTTCAGGTGTGGTAGCCTGACCTGGTATCTCAGAAGTGTGGACAAGGCAGCGCGATTAAAGTTTGGATCAAGGGGGCTTCGGACACTGCTCATGTGCTCAGATTCACTGCTGGAAAAGTTCTCCGATAGCTGCAGGCAAGCAGTTCTGGGCAGTCGTGCCAACACACAGCGCTACTCGTTTTTCAAGAGATAGTAAAACACAGTAGTTTTAAAATAGTAGTAAATAAAAAGTCATTCAGCGTGCTATTTTGTAAACCGGTATAGTGCTGATATTGTGCGGCCCTAACAACAGCTCATTTATTTAAGCGCAATAGCCGTGGGGAAGCTGCGGGAACTTGTGAACAGCGAGGCACTAAGAAACGGACAGTGCCTGCTGTTTTCCCAGTGACTAATTGAAAAACAACTGTCTTTTTGTAATTTTGCTCGGTGTCTTCCGCACGGCGTGTCATGCAGCAGCGTGCGGCTGCCGATGCCAGCAAGCCTGCAATAGGTGCCAACGCGGTGACGCCAGGATGTGGGATCTGTCCGTCTTTCTTCTGTCCGTCCAGGTGCTCCCCCCCAGCCAGGGAGGGCACTCCTAAAATGCTGATGCATTACTGAGGACCAGAGGCTAGCGCTACATCTGTACTAGTACTGCATGCTGTAGCATGCTCCCGGTTTTGTAAAATTGGGTAGTTGTGATGGAGGCAAGTACTCATAAGAAAAACTACGTACGTGCCACTCTTCCACTCACAGTTTTATTTCCCCTGCTAACTAAGTAATCTCCATATTATCATCCATTCGCTATTGCTTTTCTCCACACTCTAACTTCTCTGAAAATGACACATTTCTCCTTCCTCATGTACTACGTTAGAAGCACTTTTCCTTGCCTTACCTCGCCTTGCCTGCCTCAGTACCTCGCCTTTCTCTGTGCTTACTCTTTCTGTCTCACATAGGCTCTCAAATGGCAGTAGCTACCTTCCTGTGGGTGCCTGAACTGAGCCGGCTTTGATTATAATGGTTGCATAGACACATATTTTACCTACAGACACCTCAGTTCAGGGGTTTAGTCAGCTAGCTGAATCCTTTCCATATTTTTTGATTTTTTTTTTGGCGATGCTGATAAATGTGTGTTCACTTTAAGTGCTCTCAGATGTTAGGTTGGTAATTTTGTTTCAAGACATTGTCTAACCTAGATTCAAGAACTGATCTTTTCCACACCAGAGAGATGTCTTCAGGTGCTCAGTAGTATAGGGAGGTGCATTGTTCAGAGTGTTTTCGAGTTAGTAGCTCCATTTATAACTCCTTAGCTTCTCCAACATATTTTTCCACCAACTTTCTGTCTTTTTCGCATGTTGTGTTGGGAGCAGCAGGCAAAGGCCAGTTCCAGGTAAATTGAATCCTAAGGGAGATGAGTTGAAACCCATTTCAGACTACGTGGTATTGCTAGTTGGCTCTGTACTTCCAGAAATGAAGTAGAATCATATTTTAGTTTGTCTGGCAAGTAATAAATTTTTTATATAAAGATTGGAGAACCTGAAAGTGCTGATGACAGTGTCTCCAGTGTGGATGAACTCCTTAGCTGCATGATGGCAATGTTTGCTGCATAGATAATAGACTTCTTGTGCCAGAATGGTGTGGTTGAACATCCATGGAAATATTGAATAGTACAGACACAACCACAGCTGTTTTCATTACACATATTTACAAAAATGGCTAAACAGTAGAGGTGCGGAGGGGGGAGGTAGAGAAAGCTTTTAGTGAAGTAGAGGGAGTTGCCAGTTTTTATTCAGTATGGTGGAGCTGAACTAATAGCTATTGCTTCAGACTTGTTTCATGACTTATCACTACTTTATTTTGATTTATTAGTTTTATTCCTCTAGCATATAGGAGTTGCATTGTGGGCAAGAACTGTTGCATGCTAACAGCTTTTTAAAGTAATTTTTGTCAATGTCCTGAACAAAACCACTTGTCTGCATGTCTGGTGTGTGTATTGATCTTACAGACTGTCTCCTGCCACATGGGCAATAAATGCTCAGCTGTGACAGTTCTGAAAGTCTAGCAGCCAGGCCGGCCCCAAAACACCCTCTGGTGTAATGATGGGAAAAGGATAAGAGAGCAAAGAAGGACCACTCACCCTTTAAAAACAAATGATTTATTTTGCATGCAAAAAGGCTATTAAGAAGGGAACCCTTCTTCACTTGCCACTCAGATATTTAGAGTACAAGCACTGGAGCTCTGCAGTCAGCAGGTGGAGTCTCCATCACAAGCTGTTACCATGGGGTTTATTAATTTTCGTTAACGATGCACCTATATCCTCTGCTCTTCCAGTTCATTTTCTACTGCTACTGCTTTAGTGGAAAGTATTATCTTGCAGTGAATGAACTGAAAAGAGAAGGGGTTTCCTCTTCCATTTTTCATCTGTTTACAGGGTTTTGATTAAAAGAATAAACCTGTTTCTCCAGCCACCTCAGCTAAAACGAGACCACCAATTTCTCAGAGCTCATGAAAGGCCTGCAGAAATAAATCTGAGGCATTCACTCTCCTGACAAGCTGCCAGAGCCTGCAGAACTTGCTCTCACGCTGGCGTCTTTTCTGCCCTTGATGTCATGTGCAAAACACGAGGATTTGCGCTGTACTAATCCCTCTAATGAGGGTTTCTCCCAACCTCTATATAAACCCCACTCAAAGCTGTGGCTGCTGGGCAGGCACTGCAGAGCCAAAGCGCCCTTCTTTTGAACTGTATTCAAGGCAATTAGAGGCCAGGATTAAACAAACACCCGACACCAGCATCCTCAGCAGCGAGAGGGATTATCCCGGTCGGCCGGGGCATGGAGCCACGGCGAGGCCAGGATGTCTCACAACGGAGATCTCCCTGCTCCGCTCGCTCAGGTCCAGCGGAGAGGCAGAGCCTGTACCAAGCTGTAATGGGCGCCCTGAGGTGGCTTTTCTGGGCTGGACTGGGCTACCTGAGCTGCTGCTGTCCCCCCCAGGTGCAGGCACAGTTCCCCCGCGCCTGCATGACAGTGGACGCCCTTCGCTTGAAGCGCTGCTGCCCGGCCTTGGGGACAGAGCCAGGCAATGTCTGCGGGTCCCTGCAGGGCAGGGGACGGTGTCAGGGGGTGCAGGCAGACACTCAGCCCTGGAGTGGCCCCTACACCCTTCGAAATGTGGATGACCGGGAACGGTGGCCCCTCAAGTTCTTCAACCAGAGCTGTCGGTGCGCAGGTGAGAGGGGTGCTGGAGTGAGGGGATGGATGGGTCTGCTAACCTTGCTCTGAAGGCCAGAAACATCCCTGATGGCATAAGGCATCAAGAAGGCTTCAAATATTATCAGTTTACTAAAAATACTATCATGTTCATGATACTGTCAGCACTTTTTCAGAGCAACGGAGTTGAAAAAACGTTTTGTCTCATGCAGACTTTTGGGTTTTCCTCTTTGCCCCTAGAGTTGTCCCTGTAGCAGGGGATTTTAAGACACACAGCACTGAAGACACCTGCTAGGCAGGTTTCAAATGCAGCCTGGGATTTCTTGTTGGAAACAGAAAGTTGTTGGAATTTTCTAACGTGGGAAGAATAGCCTGCTTTCCTTAGCAGCCTGATTCTTAGATTCTTAGAACTTGCTGAACTGCTTTGTCTAAAATATACCTTGGCTCTCACTATCAAAAAAGCCCAGATCAATCTGAGAAGGAAACACTGCAGAAAATTTCAGCCCACCAGGTTAAGTTTTGCAACGCTGTTATCAACTGAAAGCAGAGAGGTAGTGGCAGACGACTTAAGTGGATACATGGCATTACTGAAGCTCCTCAAAATAATAACAACAGACTTCAGAGTATAAATCGTTTTTTTATCTCTTCCTTTGACTAGATTTCAAATGCTTGTGTGGAAGTACTTTTCCAGACACTTTAAAAAAAAAAAAAAGGATGTAGTTTTTTTTCATTTTAAAGGTCTTTATTAGGCATCTAGGGCTATGGTACCTATGGTAGGTAACATAAATTAAATATGCCTATTCAAAGGGACAAGGAACAGTGCACATCTCTACTGTTACGGTATCTTATTTTCCAAATGAATGTTATGTGCAAACTGCCTATTTGAAATGGCTCCTGGCCTGTGCAAACTCCAGCCAATGCCGAGGCTTTTTCTAGTGTTTTAGCAATATAAATGGTCGTGTTCCAGGGCCATCTCGGCACTGTTTGATTTATAGTTTAGACATGGTGTAAATGATAAGCTATGGGAACTCCAACTGCCGTGTAACTGATTATATTTGGTTAGACAGTGCCATTTAAACGTGTCACATAGCTGATGGCTGTACGGTAGGAGATCTGAAGGAGCTGTGAGGAACAGGGGCCAGGATTTTCCAAAGAGGGGATTCTGGAGTTCTTGCAATAAATCAATCCATTTAAGCTTTCTGCTAAAAACTTAATAGCTAAGGATAAAAGGAACTCTGAAAATTTGGCCATTTGTTGTAGCTGTTCACTGAGGAAAAATGTCTTAAAATCATATCCATCCAGGTCTGGGTGCTGAATATTTCTGGGGAAAAAAAAAAGAAGAAGAAAATCCCAAACACAAACAAATATTGATGAGTGGTTATTGTGGGGGTCAGATTATTTTCATATTTTTTCTCAAATTAATGTAAATTTTCTAAGGAAAATTAAAAAAAACTCCCCATTTCTTTTCCATTTCTAGGCTTTAACAGGTAATATACATTAGTCTTTCTTTAACTGGGGACAAATATAACAGAATAAGATTAGTACATCAGAAAGATCCAGCTTTACTTCCCACTTTTTGTACAAAGAACCATGGTCAAAAAGACAATTGTAAGTCTGTTGTCAGGATGCTGCTTGCTGCATGTTTCACTCAATGTGTTGGTGGCAGCAAAAATAGAATCTCTAGAAAAAAGATGTGGTTATGGCATGAATGTAGCTGGGAGGTAGCAAAGAGTTTTTAGTTCCTGTCTAATTTCAGTTTTGAATTCATTGTATGCATTCTACAATTGGTTTGGATGCACCTAATATGAATTCAATTTATATAAATTCTTAAACTGAAATGACCTGATGACAGTTCCTGACAGCGTGCAGTACTGTGTGAAGGGGCATATGCTAATTTGTTTTTCAATAAGGTGTATGTGTGGAATTAGACAAAATGTTGGATGCACTAGTCCAACCCTGAAAATTGACACTTGTAGCTAATTACACAACAAAGCGGTATTTCAGTGGGATAGTTAAATTTAGTTTAGAAGAATACTGTTTTAGAAGACTTATGAACTAAATGCTATTTTGAGTTCTAAAGGATAAAATTGTACTTGGGGATGGGATGGATTGTAAATGGGATACAGGTCTGGTATAGCATTTTAGAAACTCAGTACAGAAAATTATTGTGAAAAATCCACTGCAGTTAGTCATGTGGTTGCTAGTACAGATCATGACAGTGATTAAACAATGACGTAGTTTGTATTCACTGAGGAGTTAAATGTAATTTTCATTCTTTTTTTTTCCTGCCACTTTCTAAGGCTGACATGTGGACATGTGCTGAACAGTACTCTATTTTTTTTTCCATAGAAGTTTTTTGAGAAATAAAGTATTTAAATCTTTTCACATTCCAGTGCAATATATAATCATGCCGGGGACAGAAGGTTTAAATTCTGTTGTTTAGCTGTAAGCAAATTGCCAATTAAGCCATGTAGCTGCTGTGATGGTCCTCCCATTAGGTAAAAATGAGCTTTTGAAGTAGTTATAAATTACACTTCATTTACTTATTGTAGGGCAATGTGGCTGTAGGATAATACTAAATTATACCCATACCTTGATGACCCTGTTAGAGTCCGTGCTAGGTACAGATCTTCCACATCCTACTGCCTAACAGTATGTCCAAATGAAGAGCTAGAAGAGACAGAAGAGCTAACCATTTTTCTCACACGGTAGCAATCCTGATCCTACCCTTGGGATACTGCAATATGCTGGTGTTTCAAATCTAATGTAACTCCACTTCTAATGCAATGGCTAAAGAAGTCTGAAAAGGAGTCCTTTCTCCCCATCAGATAAATGATGTGTACTAAGCTGTTCTCTGTGGAAGGAAGAGGCATGACAGCTGCTCAGCTTTCATCTTGGTACAATAAAACAAGGCAGAAGATGGTGAGTGTTGGATGGGTTCCTTTTTACTGAAGAAAAGACACTGAGTGGACGGAGTTATTAATTTGTGTTATGCTCAGTGTCTGAAGGCCAACCGCAATGCTATGACTCCTCAGAGGTAGAAAAATCCGTGTCTGTGAGCTCAGGCAGTCCCTGGGGTTGAGAAGCAACTACAGTGGTATGTGATAACTGGTGCTAGCACACACCAGTGATGTGTATTAACACATACCAAGTGTTGTGTCATAAGATGTGTCTTTTTCTCAGTGTCATGCCTATGGATTGACCCACTGGGAGAAGTAGCATGGCCGTAGTGCCTACAGAAACAGCCAGATTCACCCAACTTAACTGGGAAAGAGCACCATTAATGATGGTGAGATTAGGCATGGAAGAAGACAGCTCCTGAGGCATGTGATCCCATTTCCAGACAAAAGGGTTAGTGGGGAAGACACCCCAGATGTTCTTTTTTTTGCCCAGCGGCAGTACAATCGTCATTCCTCAAAGCAGTGGAACAAGCAAGGAGCATCTGGACCCCATCTGTGACATGGTCTCCTGTTTGTGTGCCAGAATGACCTCCCACACTATATTCTCTAGGAACCACAAGAGGCAAGAATAACCTCAGTTGTCCCTGGCATAGCCTGGGAGTAGTACACTGAGTTGCTACGTGTTAGTCACTGAAGGCAAAAAAGTGCTAAGGCATGAATCCTTGTATGTTCCTCTGGTCCCTGTGTTCAAAAGGATCTTGGAAGGGCCTCACTGTCTTACTGAAAATGTCTACTGTGTGCTATATCCTAATAATATGAGATTACTTTTCCTGCTCTCCTAGAGCCGTACCATTGAAGTCCACCATCACCAGCGTAGCAGACATCGAAGTTAAGTGGTAAGAGGCTGGGACATACATTCCACAGTGCTATCACGTGGGAAGTCCACAGGGCAGCAAATGAACTTTCTGAAAACAGCAATGCATCATTTCCAGAACAGTGGCCTGGCAGAGTGCTTTAGAAACAAATGCTGAAAAAGTGATTTGGGTGGGACATAAAAAACCTGGGTCTGTCTACTGCAGTCATTCCTGTTCGCAATGTGGGAAATCCCACAGACCTCCATCAACTTCTCACCCTTTCAGCTCCTGCATAATGAGAGTCCTGTGATGCATTGAGTCTAGTGAAAGAAAATTACAAAAAGCAACTTTCGATTTCATGAAGTGGTGTTGTCATCGTGTGCATTTCTGACAAGAGAACATTGCCAAATAGATCTGAGGATGTTACAAAAATGTTCAACACAATCAGCAGAAATACTGCAGTGCGAAATACCACTTTGCCTGGAAATCGGCTCCTCCTGTTTACCAGTCTCTTCTTCACTGCAGTCCTCCTTCTTACTCAGTAAAAGCTCCTGTCCCACTGAAAAGTGTCTGGTGAAGTGGTGGAAAGAATGGACCCCTTGGGTTGCTTCACAGATTAGGCAATTAAGGGAGAAAATCCTGCAGAGCATCAGTTGGATATAATTAGCACCTGCCCAAGGGAAACAAGTGAGGAGTCATTGGCCCGCCTGGCTCCAGATGCCATACAGGTGGAGAAAAGCTTTTTTCCCATGAAGATGACTCATCATTCCAGGCTTTTGCAAGTATCTTTTCGTAGCCTGAGGAGGTGCATAGAGTATACGTAAAATATAGATATTGTCCGATAAAATGATCTCGGGCATCAAGAGCTGTGTAGATTCAAAGGGCCCTCACTGAGAGAGGAATAGGCACCATCAGAGCCTCAAATGACTGGTGGAGTCTTGTTTTGGTACCAACACCAGACAGGACAAACCTGGTCCTGCACTAACTTTGGTTCTGTTAGTGCTATATTTCAATGTGATGCTTATCCAACGCTGTGAGTAGATGGGTCATTTGAATTACTGGAAGCATGACAGCCAATTTCAAACAAGGCTGTTGATGGATCTTTTCATGGTTAATTCCTGCTTTGCCCCCCTTCTCTTAAAAAGGATTGAACTGTACCTTTGGGTGTGAGGGGACAACAGCTGCTTTCCAGAAGTTCATGGTCTATGTACTGAAATTTGTGCAATATACATGGCCTAATTATGCAAAGTTGCAAGATATTCCTGATATTTGTCATCTGGTGAGTACAGGCTTGAGTATGTGACGGGCCCTAATAGCTAGGCTGAGTTGTCAAGAATGAACAAGTGTACAGATAATGGAGTACACCAAATTTGCAACAGCAATTGTGCTCTTCTGATGGGACTCTGAGGATATCATGATAAAATCAACCTTCCATGTTTCTTCCCCCCCATCTTAATCTCTGCCCTCATCATAATAACATACCCATGCAATCTTTTTTCTTTCATAAAACTATAAACTACTTGCTTTTTCTGGCAAAGTCTTCATCCCCCTAAACCAATGCAGACCCCTGGCTTTGGGTGCCTTCTGTCCTAAGAAGCTGCCTGGAACATGGCAGCTGAGCCCAGCTGCTCCTACCTGCATAGGGCTGAATCGTAAGCCATACACCTGGAAACTGTTTTCACAGGTATGCCATCCGGCTGTGCATGATCCAAAACCTAGTTGAAGTCTTCACCCTTGTGGTCCCTAACCTTAGCACTGGTCCTAAGCTTCATGCTAGCATGTAAACCTATAGGTCTCAGAGCCTCCGAAGTAACCGTAAGCTCTCCAAATCTACAGTTAGGAGTCCTCATGTCCTCTTGGTAGGTCTCACAGGAGTCTGTCACAAATGTTTAGAGCTCAGCAGCCCTTATCCTAGAGCTAGCCATAAGCTATGCAACCTTCTTGGTAACAGCCCTTGTAACCTTGGGGGTCTTTGAAATTGGTAATAAGCCCTGTAGTCCCTGACAATCTGAAATCTTACTTTAGTCTTAACTGTTGGTCTGCTCATAGACTCAACCCTACAGCCTAGGGACATCTCCCCATCCAGGATCACTTCATAAGCCACTTCCCCATCTCCATGTTAGCCCAAAGCCTGTCCTGGGTCTAGCAGCGCCTATATGTGTGGGAAGCACTGAGATTTTGTGGCATTTTGGAAGACAATTGGCATGGTTGTTGTGGAGTGAGCATGTATGTGGGGTTGGAGGGAGGGCGGGGTTGGGGAGTCTCAGTGCAGATTTTGGAGAACTGAGGGGAGATCCCAGAGGAGCCCTGGTTCCCCCTCCGCTCCCTACTTCCCCTGGCAGCAATGCCCACTGTCCTACACCGCTGCTACCCCAGCAGCCTGCCTGCGTGCGGGCAGGAGGCAGATGTTCGCTGCAGGAACGGTCCTTCCCCGTCTCTCCTGGCAAAGGCAAAGCAAGCTGCAGCGGGGCCTTTCTGCTGCTGCTGGCAGTCTGCCATGGTGGGCGAGAGGCCGTGCTTAAAGCGAGCTCTGCTTTCCTGGGCTCTTCCACCACATTAGAGGGTTTGAGGTAGTAGCCTAGAGCTATTACTTGCCTTAGGAACGATGCCAGTGGGGAACGATGGTACTGCAGTGTTTCTCAGGCTCTTTTTGCAGCACCATTTAATGCGTGACCTGCAGCACCCCTCGTGCTGGATTGTGTAGGGTCCCAGATACACTGTTAATAGACATTATTTTTTCCTAAGTTTTGTCCTTAAGAGGACTGTTTTGTTTGGGGATTTTTTTCTGTGCTTAAGGATCCACGTGAGCCGACCCTTTTTTGGGTTTGATCCTGGAAGTCTGGGAGTTCTTGAGAGCTAATCGAGCAAAGGACTTTATCACATGCTTAACCTGAAGTGCTCAGCCCTCTGTTTGGTGAGACTCCTCACATGCCTGAGGGCTTCGCAGAGTTCTGAGCACCTTGAGGCGTCAAGCCCCTTACCCAGCACTTCACCTCCCCAACCAGCTGAGTGTATTCTTGGCCCTGCCGTGGCTCTGGGAAGCGAGCCATCCTTCTGGCTAAGGCCTGCCAGTCTGCTCAGCTGCTGTCCCTTCCAGGAACTGGCATCTGGGGAAAAAGAGTGATAATTCTTAATTCTTCTGCATGTCACTGTTAGTTTTCTCTGATTCATAATGTCATGACTGTTCTTTCCTTCTTGATTCAGGAAACTTTGCCGGCTTTAACTGTGGTGACTGCAAATTTGGCTGGACCGGCCCCGACTGCAACGTGAGGAAGCCACCAGTTGTCAGGAAGGATGTCCGCTCCCTGACAGCAGAGGAGAGAGAGCAGTTCTTTGATGCTCTAGACCGTGCAAAGACAACCATTCACCCAGACTATGTAATTGCAACTCAGCACTGGATGAGTCTGCTTGGCCCCACTGGAGAGGAACCGCAGATTGCCAACTGTAGTATTTATAACTACTTTGTTTGGCTTCATTACTACTCAGTCAGAGACACGCTATTAGGTTAGTGCTTTTCTTATCCAAGGGGCTCTGCAGGTAAAAGAAAGGGTGAAAGTATAATTGCTGAACAAAGGTAAGTGTGCTTAACACAGCTGCATTACTTTAGCGAGCAGTGAGTCCCAGTAGGAGCAGATCTGTAGAGTGAAACATTTGGTGCTGAGGAGGTGGTGGCCACCCGTGGTTGAGGGAGGTCTGCTTCAGACCTGCTGCAGTCTGGTCCCCGTGACCGAATGCCCCTTGGCAGCTGGAGCACACCAGCCGCACTGCTGGTGCATCTTCCATCTGACAGGGAGGCAGTTCACAGGCTCCACTGTTGGGTGAACCAAAGTGTGGTCAGGCAGTGATTCACTTCAAAAAGATGTTCCTAGTCCACAAGACAAGGTAGATGCAGCAGCAGTGGGAAAGGGGCTCTGCAGTTGTGAAGGCAGAGACCATGCAGAGACGTTGGGGACTGAAGTGCTGCTGCTTTCTGTGGCCTTCAGCAAGACACTAAGGACAAGATTTGCCTGACTAACCACAGCCAGCTTTTAAAACAAAACCAGGTTAGAGGTTTGGGTATCTAACCCCATGCTTTCTCCCAAATCAGGATTCCTAGTCCTCATTGCTCTTCTAGACAGAAGTACCTGTGCCGGGCCCACTTCACAAAGCCCAGCTCTCACAAGAGGAGGCAGCAGCATGGCTTTTCTACCTGCCAGTCCTACGTGCAAGCTGAACAGCCCATATCTACCTCCTTGCTAGAGTGTATCTGCTACACTGCAGTGGGGTTTTCTTCAGTCTCCCCTTCTGACACGATTCCGTTTCGTAGGGCTGAAGGAAGCAGTCTCTGGCCTAGCAAGAGTGAAGGTCCATCGGG